AACCACCAATTCAGAAAGAAAATCAGTAAGAAAGGAAAAAAAGAACAAAGGATCTACAAAATAGTCATAAAACAACTAACCAACTGTCAATAGTAAATGCTTATGTGTCAATAATTCCTTGAAAGTAAATGGTCTAATTTTGACAATAAAAGACATAGACTTGCTAAATGGATTTTTTTTTTTCTGACTGGTAAGGGGGTCGCAACCCTTGGCATGGTATGGTCTGCATGACACTCAGCCAGTGAGCACACTGGCCATCCCTATATAGGATTCGAACCTGTGGCTTTGGCGCTACCAGGCTGCACTCTCCCAAGTGAGCCATGGGGCCAGCCCCTATATGGATTTTTTTTTTTTAAGGGATTTAACTATTTGATGTCTGTTAGAGACTCACTTCACTTTTAAGAACACAAACCAGACTAAAAGGGATAAAAAAATTATATTCTTTGTAAATGCAAATCAAAAAAGATTAGGGATAACTATACTTAGACAAAATAGACTTTTAGCCAAAATCTGTCAGAAGAGACAAAGAAGGTCATTGTATAATGATTAATGGGTCAATTCATCAAGTAGATTTAACAACTGTAAATATGTATGTGCCCAACATTAGAGGACCAAAATATATGAAACAAATATTAACAAATCTGAATGAAGAAATAGACAATAATACACTAATACAAAGGGATTTTTTTTTTCCTTTTTGTCTTTTCTCATGTCCGGCAACGGACCGCAACCCTCAGTGTCGGGCTTGTACGTGACCGGGACTGGCAACGGGATCGCAACCCACAGTGCTGTGCCCGCCCCTCGCTCAGCCAGTGAGCGGGAACCGGTCTGTGTGTGGGATCCGAACCCTCGGCGGGAGTGCCGCTGCGCTCCCAAGCGGCGCACTGTAGCAGTGCACCACCGGGCCGGCCCACAAAGGGTTTTTGATACTTTATTATCAACAATGTATAGATCATCCAGAGAGAGAGTGTCAGTAAGAAAACTTTGAACCTGAACTACTCTTTAGACCAAATAAACCTTACGGACATGCACAGAACATTCCACCAAATAGTATCAAAATACACGTTCTCTTCACATGTGCATGGAACATTGTCCAGCAGATGTAAGGCTACAAAATAAATAACTGGTGCAAAATGTTTGAAATAATATACAGTGTGTTTTCCAACCAATTGCATTAGATTAGAAGTCAATAACAGGAGGAAAACTGAAAATACAAAAGTACATGGAAATTATACATGTTACTGAGAAACCAATGGGTGACAGAACAAATATAAATAAAATTTAAAAATATATTAAGACAAATGAAAATGACAACACAACACAACAAAATTTATGTGATGCAACAACAATAGTTCTAATAGGAAAATTTATAGTAATAAATGCCTACGTTAAAAAGAAAAAATCTCAAATAAACAATCTAACATGACAACTAAAGGAACTAGAAAAAGAACAAAAAACCCTCAATTTTAGCTTAAGTAGGAAAATAATAAAAACAGAGAAGAAATAAATCAAATAGAGAATAAAAACCTATAGATGTGCTGTATCACATTTACTGTCTTGCATATGTGGAAG